GGGGGGGGGGGGGGGGGGGGACGCGCGCCCAGCTTCCCCTCCCCGAAAGGGGTCCTGGGCCAAGGGATGGCGGAATGCGTCCTCCAGGACGGCCACGCGCCCGCCGCGCAGCCACGCCCCCCCACTCCCCATGGGGGGCGGGCGGGGGCCGGCAGCGGGGGGGGGGGTCCCATCCCGAGTGGAACACACAGTGCGAGGGCCACCAACAGGGGGGCCCTACCTCAGCCCCACCCGGACCAGCCCCTTACTCAGATGGCACTCGTCTACGGCCGCCGGGCGGGCATTCCGCCCCGCTCACCCACCCCGGCGCACAAACAAAAGGTTGACTTGTCACCCGCGTTCTTGAGGCCAGTGGGTGCCTGCGCCCGGCCGTGTGTGCGCGCACACACACACACACACACACACACACCGGGGCATCGTGGGCTCAGGAGTGGGGGCGGCTCCTTCACCCACAACACTAGCGGCATTTCCGTCCCGCCTCCCCCCGCCCATGGTCCCGCCACGAGGACGATGACCGGCGTGTGCCTGCGTGCTCTTGCTTGGCCCGGCCGCTGGGAGGCCACATCGGGCAGCCGGTGCGCGGGGGGCGTGCCGCCGGTGTGGTACATGGCGCCATGCCGACGCGCATGCAACCGCAAGCGTCTCTCAGCCAGCCGCTGCTCCCCGGCCGGAGAGAGCGCTGGGACCATGTGCCCCGAGGTGTGTCGGCCCAGCGCAGCCTCTGCTCCTCACCCCCTCCGCCCCTGCCCTGCCCACCGGGGTGACACGACTGCCCCGGTCCCGGCGGGGAAAAACAGCCCCGCCCAGCAACAACGACCTGCCGGCCCGGCACACACGGCGCGCGTGCACACACGCACACGCACACGCACACACACACACACACACACACACACACACAGACACAGACACAGAGAGACACAGCACACAGAGACACACAGGAGACACACACGCATGTGCGTCCTCCCCCCACGCCCGATGGGCACAAAAAGGAGAACAGGTGTCCCCGGCGATGTTTCGACACATTCGGCCAGTGCCAACGCACTGGGCCAGGCAGACGACGCGCGCACATGACAAGGACATGTATTATCTCCGGGCATGGGGAAATCAGCCGGAGGCAGTGACATCACATGTGCCGGCCGGTGCGGGCGAGGGCGTCTTGGCGGCCGCCCCCCCGCCGGCCGCCAGCGCCACATGCGGATCGCCCTCCTGGCCGGACGACATCAAGCCCGGCGGAGCCAGCTCCGGGGAAGTGGTGGCGCACGGGCCCGGCGGAGAGGCCGCCTGCTGGGAGACCGGCAACTCCGGGATCTGATGCCCGGGAGCCAGCTCGACGCCGGCCACAGGGGTGGGCTTTCGCCGGGTCCGAGGGCCGGGCTTCTTGGCCCGAGCCGTGGCCACTTGGCCACCGCCGGAGGGCGGCGCCGCGACCCCCGAGCCGGCCACCGTGCTGCCGGGAAGCCCCGGCGGCAGGGGCGGCCGCGAGGCGCTGAAGCCCTCGGCCATCGGGTCCACCACGGCGGGGTCGGCCACCGGCTCGGCCGGCAGCGAGCCATACGACACAAGCGACAAATCCGCATCGCTGAGCTCCAGATTGGACGGAATGAAGGCCATATCCGAGCTGCCAGACAGATCGCCAAAGCCACTGCCGCCGGAGCTGCTGCTGCTGCTGCTGCTGCTGCTACCGGGGCCGGATGGGTGTGCCTGCGCCGGGCTGGCCGCAGTGAAGGGGCCCACCACCGGCGAGTAGGAGTAGAGCCCGGCGCCGGGGTGGCCGGCCGGAGGCGGGGCAGCGCCACCGAAGCCCAGGTGGTGCTGCCTCGGCGGTGGCGGTGGCGGCGGGGGTGGCTGCAAATGGTGGGAATGGTGCGGGTGGTGGGGGGGATGCGGGTGGCTGGCGCCGGGAGGCCCATGGTAGGCGGCATGCTGCGGCCCGGGCGGCACATGGGACGAGTGGTAGGCGACATGCTGCGGGCCCGAGCCGACCACCGGCGGGTGGTACGCGTGTGGATGGTGGTACCCGTACTGCGAGGGGGGGGCCGACGACGACGGCGGCGGCGGCGGCGGCGGCGGTGGCAGATAACCACCACCGGCGTGTGGGTGCGCGACTTCCGGGCCGCCGAACCCGTATCCGGTGACCAGGCCGCCAAATGGAACGGCGTTCTCGGCTCCGGCCGTGGGGTCGGCAGATCCCGGGCGGAGGTACGGCTGCTGGGCACCGGCCGGGCCACCGATGTGCTCCAGTGGCACCGGGTGGTACACCGGCTCGGCGTCAGGGACGGGTGTCGGGGCCGAGAGCGAGCTCACCGGCAGGCCGGATGTGGACGACTGGCGTGGGAGTGCCTGCGCTGAGGCCCTGGCGCTGTTGCCGCCGCCGCCGCCGCTGCTGCTGCTGCTGCCATTGCTGCTGTTGCTGCTGCTGCTGCTGCTGCCGTTGCCGTTGCCGTTGTTGCTACTGCTGCTGCTGCTGCTGCCGCCGCCGCCGCCGCCGCCGCTGTGGCTGAGATCCACCGAAAGGTTGCCAATGTCGGGAGTCCCATCGCGGCTCATGTTCCCGGGACCCGGGGCTGGGCTGGAAAGGGCCACTGCCCTGGCCCCCGCCCCGGCCATCGGTGCCACAATCAAAGAGTCAGCCGATTGGGGCACATGCGCCGACGGAATCCCCCTCGGGTGAGCAGCCACCATCAGCGGCGCCCCGGCCCCCGGAGGAGCGGAATAAAGGTAGCCCGCGGACCCGGCCGCGTCCGTGCCCGGTCGATGGGCGTAGTATCCGGCGGCCTGGGCGCCGGCGGCGGCGCCGGCGCCGGCGCCGCCGCCGCCGGCGGAGGCGGCACTGGGCCCCGCCGGCCCGGCATGCGGGTGCCCCCCCGGCTGCAGGTGGTACATCTGTCGCACATCGGCCCGAGTGCCGGGGAGGGCATGTGCCAAAGGGGCATACTGGTGATGCCCATGGCCATGGGGCATCATCACCGACGCCGGTGGGGGGATTGCAGCCGGGTGCGCCTGCGCCTGCGCCTGTGATTGCGGCTGCTGGTAGTAGTGGTAGTGGGCCCCTGGCGGCGGGGCAGGGACCGGGCCCTGCGCCACCGGGCCCGGCGGCTGGCCATAGTGCGAGTATTGCGAGTACGCCGGCCCATAGTGCGGGTAGCCATGCGGACCGGCCGGCGGTGGGGGTGGCAGGGGCGGCGACTGGAATGCCTGGAAGGGCGTATGCGCTGGGCCCATGGTCGGGGGGCCTGGCGGGGGGGCGCCCGGTGGGGGCGGCCCCGCTGCCGGCGCTCCGGCCGCCAGTGGCTGGAACACCGAGTACTGGGCATGGGGATAGTGCGACGCGCCGGCCATCGGGGGGGGGCCCCCGGCATCCGGTGCATAGTGGTGGTAGCCGCCGGGGCCGCCGCTGCCAGCCAGGCCGCCTGGAGGGGTGACCCCGGGCGGGCCGACGTACACCTCCCCCGGCCCCGGGTAGTACGGGTGGTGGGCAGGGTGGAAGGGCCCCCGAGGATCATCGAGTGCCGGATCGCCAAAGCCCCCGATCACCGTGGAGTAGGGGGGCCCGGAATCGCTCGGGTCCTCGAATCGACAGGCCGGAGACGAGGCCTCATGCGTGAAGAAGGAATCCGACTCGAAGATCTCGGTGGCCCCGGAGCCGGGACCTCCCGGACCGGGGAGGACATCGATCATGGACAGGTTCCCGGTGAGATCGTGGTCACTCGCCGGGCCGGCGTACATGCCAGGCGAGGACCCACGCGCCGACGGGCCATCCTCCTGCCCGGCGAAAACCCCCATGTCCAAGTCCCCGGCATTGGGGGCCCCGGCGGGCACGGGTGGCAAGGAAGCGCCACCGCCACCGGCGGCACTCGCCAGGGGGGCGGACTTGGCGGTGGCTCGCGGCTTGGCCGCCGAGGCCGGCCGAGCGGCGCGCTTCCGCCGGGGGGTCTTGCCTTCGGGCGCGGAAGAGCACAGCACCGGAGTGGCCTCCCTGCCGGGGGATAGCCCACGAGCGGTGCCCTCCGAGTCGGCGCCCAGCTCGGCGCTCATGCCCATCGTCGTGGTGGCATACTGCCCGGCCACCTGGCTGCCCGGTGGCAAGGGCGGCCGAATGCCGAAAGAAGCGCCACCCGCAAAGACGGGGCCCGAGCCCAGGAAGAAGGCCGTCGCCGGAGGCGCCAGCAGCCCTGGCGATGCGTCCTTCAGCATGGCCGGGCCATCTCCACCACCACCGGCACCGGTGCCTTTGGACTCGAAAAGGGAGGGGGTATGTTGCCGGTCGGAGGGTTCTGGCACATCCGGGGGCGGGGGGGGGGGGGGGAGAAGGGGAGAGCATGAGTGCCGAGGTGTAAGGGAGGGGCAGGCAACATGTGGCGAGTGGGGGATTGGGGTATGTACTCTGGTTGTGAAGCGTGCGAAGGCCAGACGACCCAGCACCAAGGAGGTCGCCGACACTGGGGCCGGTTGGCTCATGGTCCGGCAGGAATTCGATAATGTGCTTGGGATCTGCAGGCAAGGGGGCGAGGGGACGAGAGAAAGAGAGAGAGAGAGAGAGGGAGGGAGGGAGGGAGGGAGAGGGGGGGAGAGAGCAGATTGCAGCCATGACATAGTGGGCGAAGTGAGGCGGGCACGGGCAGGACATCAAAGTAAGCACAAAAGCACGGGGAGGGGGAAGTCGACGGCCGGATGCGAAGACGGACCGGGATTGGCGTCGAGCTCCTGCCTGACCAGACGCGGCAGCCAGGGGTGCAGCTGCTGAGGGATCCACCGGTCGAAATCCTCGCGCGGAACCCGGTGGTACCCGAGCGACCGGAGGACATCCTGATCGCGGATGACCGTGCATTCGCCCTCGCATTGGAAATCCACGACATGGCCCTCGGGCGCCACGATGGCCTGGATTTGCGCGTCGGCCGTGCTGTTCAGCAGGATAAAGGGCAGGGGGATGTGCTTGACAGTTGGCTCGGCCGGGTCTGCCGCCGGGGCCGTGTCGCCGGCATTCCGCTGCTGGGAGAGATTTCGCAGGCAAACATGCTCGGCCATGAGGCTCTGGAGCTCGAGGCGCTTGGCCAGCATGCGAGCGCGCAGGTCATTGCGCTCGCGCTGATGAGAGAGGAAGAAGAGAAGGAGGGGGCGAAAGAGAGAGCGAGAGAGAGAGAGAGGGGGGGGGGAGGGCAAGAGGGGTGAGCGGGCCGGCAGGCGAGAGACATGTACGAATGGCGCATGCGCAGGCACTGGCTCAAACATGGGAGCAGCCGGAGCGCGGAGGGAGGCCGAAAGGACGACAAGACGCACCTCCAGCGAGGTGATGCTGGTGACCTTGCTACGAGAGAAGCCAATCCACCGGATCTTCTTGGAGGGGCCCTTCGACAGGATACCCAACGCGGCCAGGACATTGATGGCGTCGTACACGCGCCGGCGGATGTTTTTCTGCGCGGTGGGATGCTTGCGTCCTCCGCGGCGGGGCCCCTCGGCCGGAACCAAGGCCGATGACGAGGACGGCGGGCCTCCATTCGGGCCGGCCAATGACGAGTCCAGCGCATGGTGGCCCTGGTCATCCGGGGTGTCGGGCAGCATGTCCGATCCCGCCGGGCTGGCTGGCACCGAAGAGTCTCCGGCATCGCTGCTGCCATGAAAACCTCCGGGGGCCGTGAGGGGCCGCGAGAAAGACCCGAGACTGCCATCGGTTGACTCATCGAGCCCGGCCTCGAGGGCCGCAAACTCGAGGACAAGCTCGTCAGCAACCTATGAACGGCGAAGGGATGGCAGGGGTGTTAGTTGAGCGGAAGACCAAAAGGCAAAGAAGGGAGGAGAGAGCGAGAGAGCGAGAGAGAGAGAGAGAGAGAGAGAGGGAGGGAGGGAGGGAGGGAAGGAGAAGGACATGGGAAGGGGGGAGCAGAGCAAGCAGCAAGAGCGTACCTCGCGATAGGTGGTCACGCGCTTTTCTTCGATCTTTTGGAGGACACGAATACTCAGCTGCCGAAGGCTCTTTGCATTATCGGGCCCAGTGCCGCTGCCGCCGACGCCGGCGCCACTGCCGCTGCCACTTGGCCCGCTGCCGCTTGGGGCACTCCCGCCAGGCGGGGCGTTTGGCCCGCGCTCATCGGCCGAGTCCCGGGCGTTGGAGGACGTAAAGGACGACCCCTCGCAGAAGGAAAGGCCCAGGTTCATTTGGGCGGCGTCGGCACCGCTGCCGCCTGGGTGCGAGGAACCAGCGTCGCGGGATGGGGGGGGGGTCGGAGGTATGGGCGCATGGGGCGAAGACCCGTCGATTGAAGGTCAGACCGGGGCCTGTGGGAAGAGGCCGGCGGACGGAGGGAGGGGGGTGAGGACCGGGGAAGGGCGCACCAAAATCCTCCAGCTTTGTGGGAATCAGAGGATCGGAGTCTGGGCCGGCACTGCTGGCCATGGGCTCGGAGGGGCCGGGTGATCCGGAGAGCAGGGCCGGCAAGGCCGGCAGCGTGGCTCCCAGGAGGGGCGCCGGGGACGACTTGGCGGTGGCACGTGCGGCGCTTGGGCCGGCTGCCGCGGCAGCAACTTGCGCCTTTGCAGCACGCGAACGAGCCGCAGCTCCGGTAACACCCTTGGGCGGCCGACCGCGGGTCCGTGCCGCAGGCGCCAGGGCCGGGGCTGTGGCGGTCATTGGAGTGAGGAGGTGGAGTTGAAAATGAAGAAGGGCAGGGGACGGGCAGCAGACGAGCGTTGGTCGGGTGCGCTCGGTGGCATATGCGTAGGTGCGGAGGAGAGGGGGGGGGGGGGCGGGGGGGGAGGGGAAGGGGGGAAAGAGGAAGAGGAGGGCGCCTGTGTGTCGGTCGAAGTGCGCCCACTCAATGCCGGGAAGCAGGATGGGGAAGGGGAGGGCAACGGGGGGCAAAGAGCAGGGAAGGGGAGAGGGAGAGAGAGAGAGAGAGAGAGATAGGGACAGGGAGAAGGAGGGGGCTTGATTACGCCCTCTGGCCGAGGAGTCCCGAATGCGGTCTCGGCTCTTGAGTGGAGATCCCTCCTCTGAACGGCACGCTCAGCGAGCGGGGAGAGAGAGAGAGAGAGAGAGAGAGAGAGAGAGAGTCCGAGCTCTGGACAGGGGGGGGGAGTCAGGCCATGAGGGCAGACCTTGCGCCTGGGCGAGGGGGACCCAGGGGCGAGGAGCACCAGCACAGGCCCCCTCGCCAGAGCCAACGCCCGGATGCCCTCCTGTCGGGGAAGCGAATTCCCGAAGGCTGCATGTGCAGTGCGAAGACCGGGCCCGGGAGATGGGAGGCGCAGGGATGTGGAGGGGCCTTGCGCGACCGGGGGCAGTGGCAGCTGTGCGGTGTGTGCCGAGCGCATTCTCCGTGGGTGCGGGATTTATTCACCCCTTTGGCCGTGCTGCTAACTCCCTGAGCGGGGCCCCGGGGGCATCTCCCCCCGGTGTTGTCCCCTGCCTGCCCACGACCATCGCGCTTCATGACACGCATACACACACACACCTTCCAGGCCGAATCCCCGGAACCCAGGCATCTAACCGTCACCGATGATGCGAACAGCCCGAACTCTTGTTGCGGAGGCGGGGAGACGACAACGACGGGGTGGCCGGCGGGACATTGGGCGTTCGTTGTCAGCCAGTCTGGCGTGCTGCCCGTTCCCCGCCCCCCTCGTCCGCTTGCCCCCGGTCCCGGCGCACCGTTTGTGTTTATATTTAAACGGTGGACGTGGGAACAGAAACGGTTCCATACTCTCATGTGATCCCGTGGCATGTGATTCCCCCTCTCGTGCAAGATCATCGGAAAAGGGGCCCGAACCGTGGGAGTGTCTTGCGAGGGGAGGGGGGGGGGGACACAGACGGAGAGGAAGACAATTGGGTGTATATTTTCTCGATGGAAGAAGAGCGGAGGAGGGGCTCGGTGGAGAACGGTCAACACAGCGTATCCGTCACGCCTTTCCACGGAGAAGGGGAGAGAGGAGGGGAGGAGGGGGGATATGATACATAAACAATGGAGGACAGAGGGAGAGGGGGAAATAGAAGAAGGACAATCTGCAACACAGAGGAGAAAGACAGAGAGTGAGGAAGGGGAGGGGGAGGGAGAGAGAGAGAGAGAGAGAGAGAGAGGAGGGGATGGGCCGATGAAGTCCATCCCTCGCAAGGGGGCTCCCCTCGCCTTCTCGCTGGCTCTCCCGAAAACACAAGGCCACCCTTTCGTGCGCAGCAGCCACCCTCTCGAGGAGAGAGTGAGATGGCGGAGCACTGGCAGGAGGAGAGAGAGAGAGAGAGAGAGAGAGAGAGGGAGGGAGAGACCGACCATGGCGTCTCTCAGGCCGAGGGGGCGCCCGTGGGGCCGGGCGGCGAGGCAGGGGAAGGGATCCCGACAGGAGACATGGACGGACCGCCAGCCATCGAGACGAGGGCCGCCAAGGAGGCCGCCGCCGTTGCGGCCGCCATGGCCGACGAGGACGAGGAGGACGGCACCCCCCGGTCATCAATGCCAGCGCCGCGGAAGAGCGTCGTGGGCGCCGAGTGCGGCCGACCCTCGGTGGGAGCCGCTGCCCCTGTCGACGACAACGACGATGGTGGCAGAAGGCCACCACCAAGCCCAACGGCCGGGTCGAACGGCGTCATGGCAAAAGGCAATGACGGGTGCTGCTGCTGCTGCTGCTGCTGCTGCTGTGGCGCCGACGGTTGGAGATGCTGAATGGGGATGTGCGGTTGCACGGCCGGCCCCATTCCCCCGGATGACTGCTGGAGGAGGGATTGCTGCACCCCGTGCGACGGGGGGGAGGAGGGCAGGCTGTCAACCGACGCGGAGCCCAAATCGGCCGTTGACCGAGTGGACGACAGGTGATGGCCAGGGGCCGCCACCAGCTGGCTGCCGCCAAGCAGAGCCAGGTGCAGCGCGGCGGCCGAAGTGCCAGCACTACCACCACCAGCACCACCGCCACCACCGCCACCACCGCCACCACTGCTACTGCCACCACTCCGGGACAGTTGGTGAAGTTGCTGCAGGGCATTCAGCTGGACATGCTGCTGGGGGAGGGGCTCGGCCACGCCGCCAGGCATCGCCCCCGGCCCAACCACCACCGGGTGCGGCGAATACGACGAGGCGGGGCTCTGCAGCAAGATGGCCGGCGCCCCGCCAAGGACCTGGGTGCCGTCGGGGAAGCCAGACCCCAGGCCCGCCGGTGTGGGGCCCCCGCCCGCGCTGGTCTTGGGGGTGGGTGACTCGGCGGCCAACAGGTCCAGCTGCGACGGATCCTGCGAGATGCTGCCGCCCACGGCACTGCCACCATTCCGAAGGAGACTGGCCGCGAGGGGCGACAAGCCAAGATGCAAAGGGGTGCCTCCGCCATCGGGCCCGCCGGCCGAGCCGACGCCCGACGAGGCGGCATTCGCTTGGAACAAGAATTGGGACTGCGGGAGCTTGCCCGTGGTGTGCTGGCGTGAGGATTGCAGAGCGGCGGCCATGGCCACCGGGGTGGCGGGGCTCCCACGGCTTACAACACTCGGAGGATCGGTCTGTGGCGAGTCAGCCGCACATTGGCCCGCCACCATGCGATGCTGATGGAAGGAGTGGCCGCCGATGAGTGGCCCCCCAGTGGACGAGCTCGTGGTGGTGGTGGTGGTGGTGGCGGCGGCGGCGGCGGCGGCTGCTGCAGCTGCCACTGCAGATGCTTGCATCAGGTCCAGCGACGTGCCAAGGAGATTATTCGAAGACGAGGAGGCGCCTGACACGGCCGGGCCCTTGGAGGAAGGGCCTGCATTGATTGGAGAAGGAACCGCCCGACCACCATCGGCGACGCCCAACATCGGCGACGCTTCTTGGCTTCGCGTGGCTTCATGATACTGAAGCTGATGGAAAAGCTGCTGCTGCTGCTGATGCTGCAGAAGGAGGAGCTGACGCTGTTGCTGGTGATGCTGGTGCAGCCTCTGGTGGTGCATCTGCTGCTGGAGGTGATGGTGCTGCATGTGCTGTTGCTGCATCTGCTGTTGCTGCGGCTGCTGCTGGTGGTGGTGGATTCGCTGCTGTTGCTGGTGCTGAATCCGCTGCTGCTGCTGCTGCTGCTGCTGCTGCTGCTGCTGTTGCTGCTGCTGCTGCTGAATGAAGGGATGTGCCAGAGGCACGAACCCTGGCGACTGG